ATCGAGCCGGTAGCCACAGGGCCGGGCTCCGCCCCTGCACCTCGGCCATCAAGTTCACAGCATGCTGGGAGTTGTAGTCCTTGGCGCTGAGGCTGTTCCTGGGCGCTTGTTCAGGTGGCCCTGACTAGAGTTGCACTCCTTTTAGTTGTATTTTTGAAGTGGTTGTGCGAGGCAGCAATTTCAGGTGTTTACCTATGCCGCCATCTTGGTTTCTCCCTTAGGCTCTATTTTAATATGGCTCCACTCATGTAATCTTTCACCTGGGTCATGAGACCGCTGGGACCTCCATCTGTGGAATAAAGTGATAGGTGACAACAGATGGTCCAGGTTCAGACTTGCACAGCCAGGGTGCCAATGGGAAAGAAAGTGGTCTGAATAGGTGGAGACTGGGAGAAGGTGGAGTCCTCTCCTGGAGGGGTCAGGCACAACAAGAGAAACAGTCATCAGGCGATAAATCAGAGGTCTCTGTTCTGTGGGGAGACTTATTGCTACCCCACAAAAAAAGGAGTACTATCTAGTCCAGTTATGGCGAACCTATGACACGAACTCATTTTTTGGTTGATTTTTGTTAAATGGCATTTAAATATATAAAATAAATATCAAAAATATAAATCTTTGTTTAACTATGGTTGCAAATATCAAAAAATTTCTATATGTGACATGGCACCAGAGTTAAGTTAGGGTTTTTCAAAATGCTGACACACCGAGCTCAAAAGGTTCACCATCACTGATCTAGTCCCTTCTGATTAACATGGCAGAATTACACCCCAATCCTTTCAAGGTTGTGATCTCTACTGATTGATTAGTGCTAGGAGGTAGGGCATCATTAGTAATTACATCTGGTTTGGCTAAGAAAGAATTTAGAGCCAAGAACTCAAATACAAGCAAAAGTTAGAAGAAGTGAGCCTGCTGAACTGCTTGACTTAAGAAACAAATTACAGAGGCAAAAGAATGGCTTTTGGAGTTTAGGAGAAAGAAAGCAAAGATAACGCACCAGAGGGAAGATGGGGAAAGGCACAGGCATGCTAGAGAGAGTGTGCCTGGGGACAAAAGGTGCAGAAAGGTGTGGGTGTACTCAAGTGAGGGAGAGCACCTGCTGGGTTCTTCATCTTAAGGGCTTTTATTTGTTTTCTAAAGGTGGGGATTTTAGGGGAGGTCTCAGGGATGGATCTCGATAGAATATGCATCAGCTTCCAAAAGTGTGTCCATTCAGGGTTGTGATCTCTGCTGATTGATTAGTGCTAGGGTAGGAGATCATTAGTAATTAAATCTGGTCCCAAAGTCAGCCATGTCATTTCTTCATCTGGTTTTGCTGCTTTTCTGGGCCTGGAGCTGAAACTCAACTGAGGCCTAGCTGTTATCTCTAGTCTAACCAAAACGCTCTCTGTGGTCAACAGATCCAAGGCTTTGTTCATAAGATTATTTTATGCGGGTCAGAACCTCATTTTTTCTGGGGGTTTAATGCTTCAGGGAATGGTCATGCAAGGGCTTGTATGGGAGTTGTATGATTCTATTCTCTGCCCCCTTGTTCCTCTTAAAAGGGGGATCTAAATTGCATGATTAATGATATAAAAGGTCAAAGGGTCTAAACTGCATGACTAGTGACATGCTAGGGAGGAAAGGTCACCTTGGGAGTATGATGCAAGCCTATAATACTTGTTTTCTCTAGTTTTGTTCCTTGTTAGGCACCCAGGAATTTCCACTCAGGACTTTGGTTCCTGCTCTGCTCATGCCTGTCTAGATGCTTACTCTGTTACCAGAAGACTAACCCAGGCAGATTAACCTTAAAATGGAGGTACTAACATGGGTATCTGCTTGAAGGCAGAGATAATCATGTCCAATGAAGAATAATATTAATTTTCAGAAGATTCTTTAAACCAAACAAGCTTCAATAATTCTACATTCTCAGTACACAGATAAACACATGTTAGTGTCCCAGCTCTTCCTTACCCTTGCAGCTTTAAGTGTATCTGATATTGTAGGCAGTTAGACAGATATGACCAGAGTAGAAACTACAGGCCAGATACAGAAGGTTACCAGGATAGACAGTCCCGGGTGCCTAGCAATGGGGGAAACTTCGTAAACAAGTATTGTATAGTGGGACTTCACCCCCAAGGTGACCTTTCCTCCCCTAGCAGATCACTGGTCATACAGTTTATATGCCTTGACCTTTCATATCGCTGGTCATGCAGTTCAGATTCTCCCCTGAACTTTCATTCCTTGGAATGTTGCTAGTCATGTGTGAGACACCCTTAGAGGAGGTACAAGGGGGCCAGAAAATAGCATCATACAACTCTCATGCAAGCCCTTGCATGACCATTCCCTTAAGTATTAAGCCCCCAGGACAATGAGGTTCTGACCCGAATCAAATAATCTTAAAAACAAAGCCTTGGATCTGTTGACCACAGAGAGAGTTTTGTTCAAACTAGAGATAACATCTAGGCCTCACATGTGTTTCAGCTCCAGGCCCAGAAAAGCAGCAAAACCAGATAAAGCAATGACATGGCTGGCTTTGGAACCAGATCCTCCCCTGAGATCTCCCCTAAAATCTATGCCTTTGGGAAATAGATGCCCTCAAGATGAAGGACCAGGTCTCTCTCTCTCTCTCTCTCTCTCCCATACTTTTCCCTATCCCCTTCTTCCCTCAGGTGCACACTCTCTCTCTAGAGCAGTGGTTCTCAACCTTGGCTGCACATTAGAATCACCTGGGAATCTTTTTGAAATCCTGATTTCTGGGCCTCATCCTCTGGAAATTCTGTTTCTTAGTTATGGTGTGGGGCCACAACATTAGTAACAAAGAAACAGAATTTCCGGAGGATGAGGTCCAGAAATCAGGATTTTAAGAAGATTCCCAACCCTAACTTGTTTGGCTCAGTGGACAGAGCATTGGCCTGCGGACTGAAGGGTCCCAGGTTCGATTCCGGTCAAGGGCATATACCTTGGTTGTGGGCACATCCCCAGTAGGAGGTGTGCGGGAGGCAGCTGATTGAGGTTTCTCTATCTTTGAGGTTTCTAATTCTCTATCTCTCTTCCTTCCACTCTGTAAAAAAAAATCAATAATATATATATATATAAAGATTCCCAGGTGATTCTAATGTGCAGCCAAGGTTGAGAACCACTGCTCTAGAGCATGCCCAAACTTTTCCTTCCCTCTTTCTTCCCTCAGGTGCATTATCTTTGCTTTCTTTCTTCTAAGCTCCAAGGGCCCTTGTTTGCCTCTTGTAACTTGCTTCCTGAGTCTGTGTAGTCTAGCTGGCTCACTTCTTCCATGGATTACTTCTTCTCCTCCTGTGACTTCCTAAATAAACTTTTGCTTGTACTGGAGTTCCTTGGCTCTAAATTTTTTTCTTAGCCCAAGTCAAGGATCAAGGTGCAACATCTGGTGTCCTCCACTGATTACATATCCAGAAAATCATACTGTGTTCTGCCTTTCTCTGTGGTAAATTCTTCCTTCAGTTCCATCAGAAAATTGTCCCCCAGTCTAGTATTAAATCCACAATTAAAATGAGTCCTTCAATTAACAGTAAGTGGTCATCGTATTAGACTCCTTCTTTCCAAGAGCTGCCTCATCAGTATTTGCATGTTGAGCTTTCCCTCTGTGAAGTGAAGGCCTGCTCCCAATCCCCATGGTTGCCTTCTTAGTCTGATTCAGGCCTCACAGAGCAAGTGGGATCACTAGGGGCTCTGAATCTATTCACTCATGGTAGAAAGCACTTTCATATTGTTGTTTTTGGATTTGATATAGCTCTCCACATGAATAATTCATGATTTATGATGGAGATCATACCTAGAAGTTTTGTTGCCTGTACAAGGTTTGTGTGCCCAATGCTTAAAAAAACACACAAGAACAACATTTAAAACATCAGAGTTTGAAGTAAGCAAATATTCATTGACCAAGAAGATCCAGCTCAAGAAGATGGAGGGGGAGGGGTGCCTTATAGCGTCCACAATTCCATGTTAAGAGAACCCAGATTTCAGGTTCATTTATGTCAAGGAAAGGGAGGGATGGGGAGGTGGGTAAGATATTAGATAGTTAGGCATGACCAGGGTCCAAGAAAGAGCAAGAAATTTCTAAATTATTTTGTTCCTATCTGTCCCCTGACCCCAGCTGAACTGAGTCTGGTCTGGAGACTCCTGTAAATCTTTGATGAACTGTCATTACTTTGTATATATATCCCCACCTCTTTGGAAAAGGCTCCTTCTGACAAGTGGCTGCTCTTATAAAAACTCAAACCTTAAGCAGAATTCCACCAGTTATTTAGCATATCTCTAGTGGGAGATATTAGCTGGAAGGCCATGGGAGAAATTCGGATTAAAATTAAGATATCAGAGAGAGCAAGCATTTCACTGTTTCAGGTACAAAATGAAAGAGTACCTCTTGAAGACTAGACAGTGGCACGCCTGGAAGCATCTCAACACTGTTTCCCAGGAGCCACTTTCTGGGGGACAAATCATTCAGTGAGTTCACATGTACTTTGGGTTTCTTTGTGGTTTGCAGTAAGTGTAGATGGAAAGGTGTTTTCTCACCTTCCTCCCTCCAATGCTTATTGGGCCGAGCCAACTCAGCCAAGGGTTCACAAGCCTGAGTGAGGGTGGCGAATGGATGAAGAAATGACAGACAAAGAGAATAAGCTGGGTCTAGGTCAGCGGTTCTTAACCTGTGGGTCACGACCCCTTTGGCAGTTGAATGACCCTTTCACAGGGGTCTCCTAAGACCATCCTGCATATCAGATATTTACATTACGATTCATAAGAGTAGCAACATTTGCCTAACTGGTTTGGCT